ATTTTTTTATTATTATTTTGTCCACAGAAAAAATAAAAAAAAAAAAAGAAAGACCTGATCCCTCTGCCCCTTCTGCTGGTTTTATGCAGTGGCAGTGTGTGGGGCTTGCATGGCCTTGGAGCCACGGGGTCCCAAAGGGAATCTGGGGAGGGATCTCCATGGGTTTCTTGGATAGGAATGCATCAGGCAGAGCCTGGCTGCCCTATCTAATCAGGAAGGTCTGGGACAACAGAAGAGATGAAAGAATCTCAGAACCAGAATGGTGCTAAAATAATGATTAAAATAGAAGAGAAGGAGTAGAGGAGGGGGATTAAGTCCTTAAAAGGTGAGTTTGGATATTTTTGATGGCTGTGAGAGTTGAGGCTATCTCATACCCCAAAGTTCTGCTTTTTTTTTTTGGTGGTGGGAAAGGTCTTGTGTGGCTGCTCCAAAAGCTGGGCTAGAAGAGACTGCCCTGCCGAGTGCTGACCGAACAGTTTGTATAACAAACTCGTTATTTACATAACCCTAAATACAAAATTTTAAAGGGGGTTTGTAGCACTTGCAGACCCCTTCTGGAAAAGAGGCTGTGAGAGCTTTTTTTCCCCTTTCCCATGATCATATATCTCATTTAATCTGCACTTTCATCTCCCAGGACACAACTCAAACCCAATCTCCTGCACTCGCCACAAACCTGAGCATCAAAATCCCTCTGATGCCAAACTAACACTTTTCCCACTGTTCCCAGTGTTCCCCAGATACTATGGATATCTGGTTCCCTCATGCTTTTCACGGAATTTGGGCTAAACCTGTCAGCTTAGCCCAGCTAAACTGATCTGGGAAGAGCTGTTTGCCCACAGATGCTGCCCCATCCTGCTCCAACATCCAGGAATGCTGAGAGCAGCTGCTCCATCCATTGGAGCTCCAGGATCCTCCTCTCCTTTGACTTGGAGTTTCTTCGGTATCTGGTTTCTTCATCCATCCCCCTAACAGGAAGAATCTTTTCTGCAAGGAGTTTTTAGGAGACTTTCTCATCATCTCTGCAGCCAGTTGGACCTGTTGACTGGAGTAAAAATCTGTGGACAATGAGCCAGCAGGGACTTGGTGTGAGCAGCTGCTGCTTCCGCTGAGGATTCACCTACAGCCACAGCTGAGCTGGAGGCTTCAAGTAAGATCCAGCCTTTTAAAACTTCTTCTTTAGGGCCAAATATTCCAAAACTTTTGACCCAAGTTGGGCAACACCCCGATGTTCTTTGCGAACTCCAGCAGCTCTGTCATCTCGTGATGAGGCTGTTTAGAAAGGAACAATGCTGTGGATGCTGCAAAAAAAAATCAGAGCTGGAAAATGTCCTGCTCAGTGCACGGTCCTGGGGCGTCCCAGGAGTGGAGGAGCCAAAGGAAAGGGTCATGTTGCTGTCAGCTCCTCAGGTCTGAGCTGGAGGAGCACGTGTTGGACATATTCCAGCAAGAGCCGCCTTTCAGGTGCTCCTCAGTGCTCAGCAGAGCCAAATTGCAATGAAATTACTGGAGTATTTTATCTGCTTAGTTTCAGTTAATTTCAAAGCAATTGGGTACAGCCCATTGACTCTGCTGGGGTGGCTGCAAGCCTGAGAAACGCACTGACATTGAAGTGAAATAGCACCAAAAAACTACTGTAAATCCTTGTAAACCTTCACTGCCCTCAAACCCCTCAGTCCTGGGGGGGCAAAGGGCTGGAGAGGTAGGGGGCCTGGGCCGGTCTTTAATAAAGGATGTTCAAAGCAAATTTGACTCACATTTTTCTCCCTGTACAGTATCAATGTCTGGTTTTGCTGCCTTGGTGAAGAGGCCTCGAGGATCAGCACAAATCGAGGCTCTATGGCGTGAACAGATGAAGCGGTTTTGCCAAAAATCCTCCCTGTCTGCATCCCAAAGGTGTCAAAAGGATTTGATGGTTAGTTAGATAAGGGCATCTCCACTGTGGTTGGGGTCTTAGACAAGCAAAAGTCCAGCCCCTGCCCTCCAGGTGGGGTCTCCCTCGATATTTGGGGTATTTAATATGGTTTTCCTCTCTGGCTTGAGCACCTTTTGAAATACCTTCCGAATAAACCTTCAAACCAACAAGTTTCCAGGAAGTTTATTTTAAACTTGATACATGAGGCTAAATTTAGTAGCAAATCAATTTGTCTTCCTCTCCTCCTTGAGCATTAAGAGCATCTCCTCCTCCCGCTCTGCAGCCCAGGCTTTGATGGGGATTCGCTCCCCCGTTCCCTGGGAACACGTGAAGGTTAAGAGGTGCTCGAAGATCAGACTGACATTTCCAGACGTGCCCAGGTACGCGGAGCTGGAGTGCAGTGCCCACCGGTGTCTGTGCCAGCACTGCCAGAGCGGCACCCAAAGGCAAATCCCACAGTTATGGCTGGAGATGGAAGGAAAAGGGAAAAATCAACCCCCCCAAAAAAAGCAGAGGGTTGGAAGTAGGTCCATGAGGTGGGGATGGGGCCAGCCCCAAGCTCCTGGGTTTGGTTTTGTCCTCCTTGGTTTCCTGGCACTGGGCTTTCCCTGAGCTAATCCAGGAGCTGCTGCCCAGGTTTCCTCCAGCATTGCTTCCTACAGCAGCTGGAACTTTTAGTTCCTAAATAATACCTGGATTTTGATTTTATTTTATTTATTTTAAGGTAAATGGTGTGACACAAGGGACTGCCAGTACCCTGCATGTGGCCTGGCAGGAGGGACAGGGCAGACCCTGTAGTCTGTGTGTGCACATGTGGATATGTGTGTATATATATATATATATATGCCTGGCAGGAGGGACAGGGCAGACCCTGTAGTCTGTGTGTGCACATGTGGATATGTGTGTATATATATATATATATATATACACATATATATATGCATATATATGCATATATATATATATATATGCACAAATAAAAATATATAAATAAAATGAATGCAATAAATACAAAATATAAAAATAGAAATATAAAATAATAAAATTTATGAATAGGTATCAAAGATGTATAATGTATAATGTATAATAAACATAAAATATATGTAACTAGATAAATAAAATTTATATAATATAAAAGTTATATAATATAAAATGTATATAAGATTTATATAATATAAAAGTTATATTATATATTTATATAATATAAAAGTTATATAATAAATACTGAGATATTCTATAATGCCATTGTATTTATATAGTTATATGTAATTTATTATATAATATTAATATAATATATTAACATGGTATTATATAATAGAATACATAAAGTATTAACATTTTAAAATATTTTAAACGTATTATATATCAAATGTATATGTTAACTATGAAATAAAATATAAGCATAAAATACATAAGAATAAAGTGTATATGATTAATATACATTATAAGACTATAAGTCGCTATAAACACTATGTCATACCGATGCTCCCCTCCCCTTCCCTTCCCCTCGCTCATCGCTCGGTCCCCGCGGTGCAACCTCCGGTACCGGAGCGGCTCCTGCACTCACCGCGCGGCGGAGCCACCGAGCCGAGCACGGGGCACCGGGACGGGCTGGAACTGAGCCCTGGGATGGGCTGGAACTGGGCACCAGTATAGGCTGATACTGGGCACAGGGATGGGCTGGAACTGGGCACTGTGACGGGCTGGAACTGGGCACCGGGAGGAGCTGGCACTGGGCACCAGTTTGGGTTGGCACTGGGCACTAATATAGGGATGGCACTGAACACCAGTACTGCCTGGTACTGGGCACCAGTTTGGGCTGGCAGTGGGCACCAATATGGGCTGATACTGGGCACCAGAAAGGGCTGGCATTGAGCACCAGTTTGGGCTGGCACCCAGCAGTGGACACTGATACAGGGATGGCACTGGGCACTACTACGGGCTGATACTGGTCACCAGAATGGGCTGGCAGAGGACTGGCAATAGTCACCAGTTTGGTCTGGCACTGGGCATCAATACAGGCTAGCATGGGTCACCAGTACGGGCTGGCATGGGCCATCAATTTGAGCTGGCACCAGTATGGGCACTGGGCACCAGTATGGGCTGGCACTGAACACCAGTACAGGCTGATACTGGGCACCAGTTTGGGCACCATTATGAGAGAACTGTCCATCATTAGGGGTTGGCACTGGGCACCAGTTTGGGCTGGCACTGGGCACCAATACAGGCTGATTATAGGCACCAGTTTGGGCACCAGTATGGGTAAGAACCACCCATCATTATGGGCTGGCACTGGGCAGTGGTGTGGGCTCATACTGGGCACCACTATGGGCAAGAACTGGGCACCAGTACAGGCTGGTACTGGGTACCAGCACGGGCAGGAGTATCGCCCAGTTCCCCAGGGTCACATTGCGCTGGGACCTGCCCAGGGGACATTCCCGAGGGGATAACAGTGTATGGGGACACCCGTCAATGCTGCCCCCCCAGCCCAGCCAGGGCCGCGGGGTGCAGCTAATTAGGGGCTAATTGTGTTAAGCCAGGGCTGCACTAATGCAATTGTGGGATTATCCTGCAGAGACAGCGACCCCCCATTGTTGCCAGGGTGATTTGGGGGAGTTCAGAGACATGCACCTGGGCCATGATCCAGCCAGACCCCCCCGGGCCTACCCTAGTGCCCCCACTCATTGCCCACCCACCCTGCTGGGGATCCCGGCCTTTCCAGGGGCTTTAATTGCCCCAGGGCTAACGAGGGGCTGCTGGTGCTGGGAGGGGGTGTGGGCTCTTCAGGTAAACAGCACCCCGGGGCTGGCGACCCCCCCACCCCCGGCACATCCCTGCTGATGGTGATTACCGAATTAACCGGCTCCATCTGAGCCCGTCTGCTGCCGGGATGTGGGTCAGGGATTACCCCCCTCTGTGCCCCCCAGCCCAGTCCCTGCCCTCCCTGTCCCCTGCACCCACAGCTGCACAGGGAGCACCCCAGTGCTGGGGATGGGGGTCCTGCCATCCCGATCCTGGCAGGCAAAGGAAGGAGGTTCAGGCGGCCGTAATAAATACAAGAAAACTTTATTGAAAAAAAAAAGAGGTGGGAAGGGGGCAACGGCCCCGGCTTGGGGAAATAAATAACAACCTGGGGAGCACCAGCTTACAAAATATGGCTCTGGGCAGTGGGGTCCTGCGGGGTCCCCAGTGAGGCTGGCAGGGGCTGTTGGGTGCCCCAGTGAGAGGCTTGGGGGGCCCAGCCCCCCGGCACCCCCGGGCACCTGAGAAGGGGCTGCCCCCAGGGGGCAGCTGGGGCTGCCAGAGCGTCCCAGCCCCAGCAGGGACATGGGAGCAGCCCCATCCCTGCCTATCCTGAGAGCCACCACTGCGCCACAGCAGCGTCCCCAAGCCGGGAGCACTGACTGCGGGCAGGGGCTCAGCACCACTTGGGGCACCCCTGGGTGGGCGCCCCACTCACATCCTGTCCCCCCTCAAAGGCTCAGGCCAGGATCTTCTGGGGGATCTCCACCGAGGCTTTGATGAAGATGGCATTATCCCGCACGTAGTTCCGTTTCCTGATGTCCTCGTGGGAGATGAACTTGGGGTAGCCGAAGCCCAGGGTGCTCTCGTCCAGGGAGCTGCGCGAGGCTCCCGGCTTCTGGAAGTTTTTCCAGTTGGGATCGGGATGGAAGGTCTCGGTGATGTGCTGGGGCTTGGAGAGCGAGGGGTCGCTCTGGTCCAGCAGGGAGAAGGTGACGCGGTAGGAGAAGGGCCACTCCAGCAGGTTGTCGTACTCTCCCGGCAGCACACGGATGTAGACGGAGAGGTGGCTGCTCTCCCCGCTCCCGTTGCCGTTGAGGAAAGCCGAGACCTGGAGCTTGTAGCCGTACTTGTGGGTGTAGAAGGGGGGGCTGAAGAACTCGTAGTTGCTGCGGGCTTTGGCCTCCTGCAGCTTGCGGGCGTAGTCGGCGATCTTCCAGATGAGGGTCCCGTCGCTGCTCACTGACAGCTCCTCCATGTCACGCCGCAGCTCCAGGATCTCCTGCCGCTGCCGGCTCACCAGGGCACACACCATGCCCAGGTGTGCCTTGGTGCTCTCCTCCAGGTGCCGACCCATGGCCAGCTTGGGGCACTGTGGGGACAGTGGGATTGTCAGCGGGGACATTGGGAGATGGCACGAGACAGGAGGGAAAGGTGCCATGGAGATGGGGGTGCTGGAGCAGGAATTTGTAGGGACACAGGGGTGGCTCAGGGACACCTGGTTGGGATGGCATGGGGACACTTGGGTGGCAAAGTGACACGGGGTGAGGCAGGACAAGGATGGGGATGTCATGGAGCCACATGGATGGGACAGAAGAGAACCAGCTCAGGGGACGGGACAGATAGGGCAGGAGTGGTGTGGGGATGTTGTGGAGCACAGGCACAATATGGTAGGGAACGACACCCCATGAACCCCCAGGGCAGGTTGGTCACAGGGACACACTCACCCGGTGCTTGCAGCCAGCCTCCTTGAAGGGGCACAGCAGCATGGCAGTGTTGCAGCTCTCCTTGAGGTGGGTGGGCACGTCCTCCCGGGGGATGCTGGGTGTCCCACACTGGTTGGGGCACGGCACAGGGTACCGGGGACACTGGTACTGGTGGTTCTGGGGAGGCAGAGTGGCTGTCAGCCAGTGCTGGGAGCCAGTGGGGTGAGGGTCCCCATCGGCCCCATCTCACCTGGATGGTGTCGAAGACAAACTCCTTGGAGCAGTAGGTGCAGGGCTGGGTGCGCTTGGGGCACTCGGCCAGGGCGTGCTGGGACAGCAGGCGCCGCATCATGCGGGCCCCACACTTGTTCTCGCAGTACACACTCTCCTGGGGACACGTGCCCTGGTGGCCCTGGGGACCATGACAGCATCGTCACCCTCTGTCTGCCCTCACCAGCCAGCCCTGCCAGGGATGGGGCCATACGGTGCCCCTATGGCCAGGGTCACAGGGACCAGGAGCCCACATGTCCATGTCCCCACAAGGCTGTTACACTCATGATGTGCCTCCCATCCAGGCTCTGTCCCCATGCCCAGGTTGTATCCTCCATGGTTTCCCTCACAAGGCTGTGTCCCCCATGGCCAGGCTGGGCTTCCCACAGTGTTCCCGCCAGGCCAACCCCATGGCTGTGTCTCCCATAGTGTCACCCCCTGCATGCTGCCCCCCTGTTGCCCACCTCAAAGGCCTCCCCAGTGAAGTCACTGGCGCAGAACTCGCACTTGACCCGGCGCTTGGGGCAGCCGTGCTGGACGTGCTCGGGCAGGTCGCGGCGGCTCAGTTTGGCGCTGCACCGGTTGGGGCAGGGGATCACGTTGAAGCCACAGGTGCTGAGATGGGCCTGCGGGGCATAGGGATGGTGAAGGAGGGCCATGGGACAGAACCTCGACCCTCACCCCATCCTGCCGGCCCCTACCTGGAGGTGCTTGATGAGCCCGCTCCAGCGACAGCCCTCCTCGCTGTGGATGCAGCGGATGGCCAGGCTCAGCACCTGCGCCTCCAGCTCCGGGTCGGGGTAGATCTGGGGGGGTAACACAGGGACTTGAGCTTCCTGCACCAGGCTGTGGGCACACAGACCCCCAGCACAGCCTGGCTGGGAGCCGTGGGCACTCAGCCCGGGGCCGGATCCCCCACTGGCACAGCAACAAGCACCCTTTGTCGGGAGCGGGTTTCCGCTCCCCGGCCCCGCAGCACAAAGGGCTCTTGCTTCCGCCTGAGTGCCTGTGCCAGCCCGGCGTGGCTGTGCCAGGCGCTGTTTAGAGCCTTGGGACGGCGCCTTGGCGGAGATGTCACCTTGGAGGGAGGTACCCATCCATGTGCCAGGCTCACCTTGGCGTAGTCCAGGGGCAGCTGGTCCTCCGGGCACTTGAAGACACCTTCGCTGCAAGACACAGAGGGGTCAGGATCACTCAGGGATGGGGAACAGCACCAGTGACACAGACACAATATCCCATCGGGTCCTCGCCATCCCATCCCAGGACACTGGCGCTGTCCCTCCACCCTCCCCGTACCAAATCCAGCCACGACCCTGGGGGAGCTGCAGCTCTAATCCCGCTCCATCTGTCTGAGCTGGGAAATGCTACGGCCAGACACCCCCCCAAGGCAACCCCCGCCCCCCCGGGCGGGCACGGCGGCCCCCGTCCCCAGGGGCCTGGGCCAGCCGCTGCTCGTGGCACCATCTGGAGCCCCGGCAGCCCCTCGCCTGCCCCGGCCCCTGGGATTAAGGAGGGTGCCGGCGGCTGGCCAGGATGGGGCCGGCAGGGGACGGGGCTCCCACAGCCCCAGGTGCTGGGGCCCAGGGGAGGTGGGGGAGGGCAACAGCTGGGCACCAGATGTGCAGCCCGGATGTGTGGCCCTGGGGCTCTCCCTCCACAGGAAATGGCCCCATCAGCCATCGTAGTGAGCCAGGACAGGGACAGGCAGCCACCCCAGAGGGGTCCCCATCATGCTGGGCCCCCAGGATGGGGTGCTCCTCCAGAAGGCTGTCCCTCAGCTGGGAAGGGCCCTGCTCAGCCCTGAGCTGCAGAGTGGCAGTGTGAGGTGGAGATGGGGATGGAGCCAAACAGGCAGCCCGGCCTGTGACACCGCTCACCAGGAGCCACCATCACCTCTGGTCCCCACACCACCATGCCTGGGAACAGGTGAGGGTGTCCACGTGCCATCCCTGATGGACACTGGGGTGGGAGACCACAGGTGCTGCCTACAGGGACACGCAGCAGGGACAAACAGGGACCTTGTGGCTCTTGTGTCCCTGGATGAGGTTGCATTGCCTGCACAGCTCCTGCCTGTCTAATGACCGAGTGCCCTTGGCAGGCGTCGGCGTGGCCTCGACTGGGGCTGCCAAGTGGATGCGAGACCTCGGGACAGAGCCAGCTGTGCTGCCTGGCACACGCTGGCCTGGGATGGCCTGGGCATGGCACTGTCATCTCCCCTGCGGCCACTAGCCCTGTGCTGGGGGTGCAAGTGACCCCCAGGAGCCCCAGCTCAATGCCGTGGGGTGTGATTCATGCAGGGCACGGCTGCATTCAGCCATGCCACGTATTTGCTCTGTTTACTGCAGGTGGTTCCGTGGGAGTCATCAGGCATCTACCAAGATAAGGTGCCCTAGGACAGGGTCGGGCACCCATCCCTTTCCAGGGAGCCTGTGGGTGGCATTGCCCAGCGGCTGGCATTGCCTTGGAGCTGGCATCACACCTTTCCAGGGCAGTCAGCCATATCTGCACCCTGTGCATGGTGTTGGGGTGCTGGGGCTGGGGGGGGAAGCGGGACAATGACCCGAAGCCAGCGCCTAATCCCCGACAAAGCCTCCCCATTCCTCATGCTTGGCCGGGCAGGGAATGTGCTGAGGCAGCACCCAGGAGGACCGTCCTTGCCTCTGACCTTCACGGCGTGTTGGGGCACAGCGAGGTGACAGGGTGGGGAACCCCGGCACCCCCCAGCACCCCCCTCCCGGCACCGCGGTGGGGCTGGACGGCTCAGTCCAAGAGATGCCCAAACCTGATCCGGTGAAAACGGGGTGTGCTCGGTGAGGGGCCCCTGTGTCTGGCTGTCCCGGTAGAACGGAGGTGCCGGCGGAAGGGGTGCGGAGGGGGGGCAGGGAGCAGATGCGTTCTGACACGTGCCCCGGGGAACGCCCGGTTTCGTAGAAACTGGCCACGGTGTCTGTGGCTCCCGGGGACCGTCCCGGGCGAAGGTCGCCCCGGCGGGGAAAGGTGCAGCCGGAGGCGGCAGCGGAAACCGGGGCCCAGAGTGACGCTGGTTATCGCCCCGGGGGAGCACGAGCATCCCCTCGCCGAGCCCTGGGGGGACCCCCGGCACCGCAGCGAGTGCGGCGGCCCCGAACCGGGGCAGCACCGGCCTCGCACGTGCCCCCGGGCTGCCGGTACCGGTACCGGGGGTCCCAAACCGCGCGGGTGGGAAGAGGCCCCGGCTCCTCGCTCCCAGCGAGCACACACGGACGGGTTGGGCTCCCTCCTGGGCGCGGGGGCACCGGGGTGGCCGGACCCCTCAACACACACACACACACACACACACACCCCGGTCGCTTCCTCCGGCGGGGCCGGGGCAGGAAGGGGTTAAGCTCGAATCTCGAAACTCGCCGCTCCGGGCTTTACCGGGCCCTCTTCTTCCTCCTCCTCCTCACCGAAAGGGGCCACGGGCCGCTGCACCCCGCAGGCGGCTGTCACAGCCTGGGCGCGCCCCGCACCCCCTCCCTGGCCCGGGGCACCACCACGCAACCCGCACCTTTCCCCGGCCCGGGGCATCTTGGGACGCCCTGCACCTTTCTCGGGGCACCGCGCACCCCCGAGCACCCCGCACCTTTTTCCAGGGCACGCCGCAGCCGCTCCCCGGCCCGGGACACCCCTCCCCGGGGTACTCGCATCCCTACCCAGGCCCGGGACATCCGCACCCCCGTGCTCCCCTCACTCCGGCCCCGCCCGGGGCCCCCCGCACCCCTCTTTGGAGCACCCCGCACCCGCGGGCACCGCACCCCTGGGGCCGGCGGCGAATTGGGGGGGGGGGAAGCACCCGTCCCCCCCCGGGGTGCGGGACCCCGCATCCGGCGGTGCGGGGATGGGCGGCCGGGGTGCCCCACGGTGGGAAGGGGTGCGCGGCGCGACGTCAGGTCGGGTCGTCCGTGACGTGCTGCGGGGTCTCACCTGAGGAACTCCTGCAGGCAGGTGTCGCAGAAGCGGTGGCCGCAGGTGGAGACGCGGACGGGCTCCCGCATGGGCTTCCCGCAGAGCGGGCACAGCACCCGCCGCCGCGGCCGCTCCAGCAGCTTGTAGTCGTAGCCCGGCATCCCGCCGCCCCGCGCCCGCCGCCGCCCCGCGCCCGCTCGGCTCCGCGCTCCGCGCCCGGCTCCGCCCGGGGGCCGGACGGGGCCGGACGGGGCGGTGGGATCGGCCTGAGCCCGCCCCTGCGCCCCGGGCCGGGGGACGGCACCGCCACCGCCTCCCGCCCGCGCCCCGCCTCCCCGCCTCAACGGGGGGGGATGGAGCGGTCCTGGCACCCCGGGGGCTCGGAGAGCATCACACTGGGGACAGACAAGGACTGGGGGAGCGTCACATCGGCGGCAGCCCCTCCAAGGGGCTTGGGGACCATCACGCTGGGGACAGCCACCTTGGGGACTTGGGGAGCACCCCACCGGGCACAGCACCCCCGGGGGGGTTGGTACCCACCACGCTGGGAACAGTCATCTCAAGGGCCTGCGACCCACTGCACTGAGGACAGCCACCCCAGGAGGTTGGGGAGCATCAACATCACATCGCACACGGCCACCCTGGGGGCTTGTGCACAACCTGCAGAGCCCCCCCATCACTGCAGCCTCCCCTGGCCCAGAGCTGGGCTCCTGGAGCACACACTGCTGTCCTCACTAACCCTGTGTCTCCTTCTTTACTCGGGGGTGCCCCAGGGGTTTCACTCTCCTGCAGGCAGCCTGGGGCCACAGTTGTGCCCCTGAGCAAGGCTGGAGGTGAGATACAGCTCCCAGACACCTGCCACAGAGAGCTACTTGTGTCCAGCCATCACCCACAGCAGGACATGGAGGGGCTGCCCTGAGCCCCCCACTCTACGGGCATGGGGGGACACACAAGCTCCCGTGGCTTTGTCTTGCTGGGAGCTCATGCCCCAGGCTGCAGCCATCAGCAACCCTCCAGCCACGGTTTGTAACAGAGCAAAAGCCTGGAGGAGGGAGAATAAAAGCAAATCTGTCTAGCTCTAGCCCCCTCATCACTCTTTCAGAAATCAGAGCAGCATATGGGAGTATTTGCCCCTTTCCCCAGAGATGGAGCTGAGCAGATGACAGGCTGTGAGCATGTGTTAGTCCCACCAACGCTCACTCCAGCCAGCTTCCCATTAAGGGCAGCAGTTGCTCCAGACCCAAATGTTAGCAGTTTTCAATTAGCAAATGGCAGAGGAGAGGGATTCCTGGGGGACACGCTGAGCAACTCGAGCTCTATCACTTGTCACTCAAGGAGCTCACGTTACCCTTCTCCCTGAGAGGCTCTGCTTAAAATAAAACCCTCCAGCAGCCCGAGGGGAAGCAGGCAGCCCGCCTGTTTGCTGCCAGAGCTGCCAAGGAGAGGATGGGGGGCTGATTTCTGTGGTTACCCTGAGGGGTGGCAGGTTGTCCTGCCACAGCCTGAGCTGCAACGGGGTTTTAGCTCCCAAATATCAGGGAAGCTTGTGTTGGTGTACACTGAACATGAACAGTCATGGCAGGGGATTTTCTGAGGGAGGTGAGTAGCTGGCAGCCTGCTTGGATGGTGGAGAGCACTGAGCTAAACTTTAACCAGCTCCCAGCGAGCCTGGAAACCCAACATGTAAAAACAAGTGACGGTGGGCAACTGTACAGGGAGCAGTGGGGTGCAGCAGGTACCTCGAGCTGGGGTTGAGGTGCTCCCCAGCCAGGTTTGCTCAGGGCTGTGACCCCCAAGGGCAGGATCTACCAGCAGCCACATGGTCCAGCTGGTTCTGCCACTACGTGCCAGCATGCCCTGGAGCCAGGCTGCCTCCAACAAGAGATAGGCACTATCCCAGACACTGTCCCTGACATACTATGACCTGGCCCTGACTAAAAACTGTCCCTGGACACAGTTATGAGACAAAGTTCAGGCCAAAAGGACAAGGCCCTTGGCATCCCGGGGGGTGATGGGACTCCTGGTGTTTCTACCACCAAAGACAGGACACATCAGTCCTGTAAGCTCAGACAGCCTGTGCCTCCGATGACAGGCATGAAACACCCGACTTTTATCATTATTTACTGCTTCTCTTTGATGTTTTTAAAATTATTCTTCCCTAACCTCACTGAAGAGCATCTCTGCTAATTAGCCAGGAGCTGACAAAGCCATCAGAAGGTGCTGGCTGTGCCGGCAGGGCGGCTGGGAGGTGTCAGACCCTGCAAACAAAGATCCCTCCTTTTCCCCTTTCCCTAAGGAAAGCCCTCCCCGCACTCAGCATCACAGCCAGGCATTTGTCTCACACAAAGGCGACACTCAGGGCAATTCCCTTTGTGGAGGCGATATGTTCCCTGTCCCCTATGATGGGTCACTCCTTGAACCCATCTGGGCTTGGAGAGGCCTCTTGTCCTCTTCCCCAGCCTCTCCCTGGCCTGCACTCCTGCTCCATCCCTCCTCCTTGTATTTAACTTAAACTGGAGGGACAGAAAACTGACGCTCTGGCTTCTAAAGAAGTTAAGGTGGAGTGTTTTGCCCCAGGGAAAGGAGTGGGGAGAGTCCTCTCCCTGCTTCTGGGGCCTGCCCAGGGAGGGCGGGGGGTAAGGGAGTGAGGCGGCTGGACAGACGGACGGCAGCCGCACCTTCTGCCAATTCTGCCAAGCCTCGTGGGAATGAGGATACGACCTCGACAGAGGTGCTGGAATCAAAACAAATCAGCTCTGGGATCAGCAGGCGGTTTGGGCTGTTTCCTGCTGACAGCAACAGCCCCAGGTCAGCGGGATCTTACTGGGAATAGGGACAGCTTTTCCCTGGGTGACAATGGCCAGAGGGGACCCACACCAGGATGCACAAAAGGGGACAGGCAGCCTCATCCCACACCTCCCCTTCTCGCTCCCCTCTGGCTCTGCCTTCCTTAGCAGGAAGAGCCACAGGGACACGGCTGATCCACCACCAGCTCCACAGAACACGGGAACAAAACAAGGATAAAGGGAGAAGCCCTGAGACCTGCAGATTTCACCAGGAGCTTCTGCAGGGAAACAAAGCGGCAGACGTGAGGAATGCAACTGGCCTATTTGCCCAGGCTGCTCTCTGCCTCCGGCAGTGCGGACATGCCTCAGCTTGTCGTTTCAGGAGCTTTTGTTGCTCGGGGCTGGGGGCCTCTTTGTTTCCTTTACCCTTTCGCCAGGCTTGGTCACAGCCCGGTATTAAATTATTCAAATCATCTCGCTGGGCTTCACAGCTGAACTCCTGCAAGGAGCGCAGGCTGTGAAATCCCGAGGGCTCCGGCCCTCGCTGTGAGCCCCCGGCCCGGCACAAAGCACACTGGTCCACACTGGTTTCCCCTGCCCGGAGTAAAGGGTCCCGATATTTGAGCTGGTGACACCTCCAGCCCCAGCACTGCAGTGCAAAGGTGTCATTAAGCCATAAAACAACCCACCTAACATCGATGGGAACAGGGGGGCTGCACCCCTGGATTTGGCAGCCCAGCTGGAGCAGGAAGAGCCTGGCTCCTGAAACAGTAACATTTTGGTGGCATCGCTGACAAGACAAAGGATATCAGACCTCTGTCCTGCCTGCTGCTGTCCCAGCAAGCCCTCAGCCCTGTCGAGGCTGTAGCAGGAGCACCAGTCCCTTCCTATGGGATGTGTTTGGATGTGGTGTGGGGCGAGGGGAGCTGTGAGAGCCCAGCTAAACACAGCCAAAAGAAATCTGTTGCTGTAGGAGCTGGTGCTGCTGCCAGCTCAATGCAGGGAGGAGAGGCAGTGGCCCAGAGGGGCTTTGAGGCAATTTAACCCAGCCCTGTAATTACCTCAGTGCCCAGGTTGGTCTGGGAGGAGAGAACACCTTTCCCTCTGTCGACACCGGGCTGCAGGAGCCATCCCTGTAACCTGCAGCACAAAGAAAGTGCCAAAGGACTGGCAGAGCCTTTGAATTCCAGTCAGCTTCCTGGGATAGCAGGGTGTAACCGCCTGAAAAGGCAGCTCCACAAGAAACAAAAACGGCAGGGAAAAACCCATGCACCCACCCTGCCAGGAGCCAAACAGGGAGGCTGTGTCTGCAGCCAGGGCTGCACACGCCTCTCCCGGCCGGACAGGACCTGCTCCCTTCCCCAGCTGGAGCCTGGAAGGCGAGGGAAGAAAGAGCAGGAGACCTGCAGAAATTCATTACCTTTCACATGACAGAGGGATCAGTTGGCTTTTACCAGAGCCCAGTGAGGTTTCCCTCATTGAAAACAGGAAAGAATCACAAAAAATAATTAGAGAGATTTCATCTCAGCCAGCTTATGAAAGCACCGACTTTATACACAACAGATTGGCAACAGCACAAAGATGGATGTGAAAGGCAAGAGCATTTGCAATGTCAGACAGATCAGAGACAGAAGCTCATCAAAAAATGGCCCAGGGCAGACGTTAAGTTGAAAAAAGAAAGGAGGAGGGAAAAAAAAATGGAAAGGAAACGACCCTTCTGGAGATAAAAAACGTGACTCCTGTCCATGACACACGGATGTGCCCCTCCTGCCCGCAGAAAGGACCCCTGGTGAAAACTCATCATCTCCCTGGAAAGATCTGGGTTAAAAAACTTCAAGTACTGACAATCACTCGCTGTGTTTTGCTCCTCAGCTGGGAGTCAGCGAGCTGGTCAGCACCAGGACTGAGGGGCCTGAGGACAAATGTCAGCTGAAGAATCCTCCAGCGAGCTCCTGGGGCAGGGGAGGCTGTAAGTGGAAAGCTCCAAGTGGCATTTCAGGAGAGTGAGCAGGGCTGTGCCACACAGAGAGGCTGCTCACACCGGGCTCGGCCAGCTGAGCAGGCAGGACCCCCGAGAGTGTGCTGAGCAGCTCAACAAATGGGTGAAACGTTTTAAGGGGGGATGGGAAAGGACAGACGTCTCTAATTAGCAAAGAGGTTTGCATTTAGTCACCCAGCACAGCGCCTGGGGCCCTGACTCCAGACACTGCTGTGCAAAGGCTGACAGCTCTCCCAGACACGGAGCTGTCAGCCTGGGCTTTGTAACCAGAGACTGCTTCCATGGAGGAAAACAACCTCTGTGCTCCTCACCCTTCTACACAGGCACTTCCAGCAGGGAGGGGAAGAGTTGTGCTGTGACCCCCTGAAGGCAGCAC